GCATTACCCAATGCCAGAAAGAAGTCTGAAGAAGAGAAAGAAGCTGTAACCCTGAGCGAAGGAAGACATAAATGCGAAGATACAGTTTATAGATAATGCCAGAATCAGACATTGCCGACGGCCAACTTTGTCTGCCAGTCCTCCCCACAGAAATGCTCCCACCATCATACTCAGGAAAACGATGAGACCTGCACAAAGAAGAAGTAATAGAGGATGCCATATAAAATTATTTAATACTAAGGATATGTTGCAAAACCTCAATATACTCAAAATCAAAACCACATCTGATTGGTTTCATCTCTGTTACCTTGGTGTTCCTACTTCTCCCTGATTGCCTTTTGTGTCTGTGTATATCTAAAGCCTCGGTTTGTCGTTTGCTTGTGTCTTCACTGTGTATTCTGGCTGTTTGTTCCCAACTTATTTATTTAACTTTCTCTTAAATTTGGTTTTGTTTTCTTTCCCATGGATTTATACCAGCCTAAATAAACAGATCACTTTATAGTGCAAAGCAAAAAAGCTTTTTCCTCACTTCATCACACTCTACCATGACACACCTATTATCAAACATGCTCTGCAGAAATATATGAAATCAAATTCCTTCTTTACCTTGTTTGGTATGGACTTTCATGAGCAGATTGCTTTAGCCTTAGGCAAGCATTTAACATTGATTGGTGCCAGAGATTGGCATGCTGACAATATTTTAAACCAGTGTACAGATGGCCATGCAACACAGGATAACTGTGACTCATCATACTGGTCTCCAGCATTTTACACCACGTGTAAAATATCTGTTTCACAAAGGTCCAGGGACACCTGGGCAGCACCCATATGCTTTTTTCAAGGTCAGTACAAAAAGAATTGGTGTGTCACTCTACTGATTCAGAACACGAACACACACAAACCACGTTTAAAAATATTGGTTTCGATCAAACCTTGGCAATTCAATTCAATTTTATTTATAAAACACTAAATCACAACAGCAGTCGCCTTAATGTGCTTTATACTGGAAGGTAAGCACCCTACATTAATAAATAGAAAACCTTAAAAATCAGACATCAGGGAAAAAAGAAAAACTCTCTTTTAACAGGAAGAAACCTCTGGCAGAACCAGGCTCAGGCAGCAGCCATGCTGTGACCAGTTGGGGATAAGGATGGGAACTGATAAGAAGTTAGCAATTCCGATTCCATTATCACTTGTTGATTCGAGCCTTTATTGATTGTCATTCTCATCAATGAGAGTTACCACCATCACTAAGCAGCATCTCATTACATTACATTTGTGTAAATTGACTGCATACTGCATTGTCAAATGTTTGTGTGTGTTGGAGGCATTTCCCCTCTTTTGTTGAGATTGCTGTTAAGGTTATTACTCAAAAAAAAAGTAAAGTATTACATATATTACACGAATACCTTTCTTAAACAAAGTGTAGTACTTTACTTGACTACTAAATTCACTGCGGAGAGATTAACTGACCTACAAACAACTACAGACATGAATAACTTATTCTTCCTATTTAAATCAGTTCACACAAACTACGATTTTATTACTTTTTAGATTTTAAACTGATAGAAACTTACAAACATCACAAGCGAAAACCTGATTCACATGGTGACTTTTCCTCAGAAAAATACCGTTTTCATCAGTCAGTCATTTGGCTCAACAGTTACCAGAGGTAAAAAGAAAGCCTCACTTACAGCCCAGACATTTTTTGTTCACTAACGACTTCTTGTATCTAATATATTATCTCCCCCTGCAGGTAATGCAATTTCTGCACGCAGTAATGCAACTTCTGCATGCGTATTCATTTCACATTTTAAGGAGGCAAAGCGTGAAGTGGACTCGGTGGACTGGCGTGTCTATTACACGTTTAGCTGTTCTACTGGGGTGAAAAATTGCATCAGCAGCTGAAAGGGTCACAGCAGAGGGAGCTACATGAGATTTCTCATCAATGCCAAATTATCTTGGTATGATACCTGGATATAGTGTTGACTACTGCAAAGTCATTTTCAGGTTTTTCTCATAGGTGATATAATAACTAACACCTTCCGGTACTTGTAAGGCCATGTTACTCCTAAATTTCTATCTTGTTCAAAGAGAAGATATAAAACAAAGATCTAAGCTAATTGACCTTAGTGTTCTCCTTTTTTAAAAAAAAAAAAAAATCGATAAGAGAATCGATAAAGAATCGAATCGTTAAACAGAATCGAAAATGGAATCGGAATCGTGAAAATCTTATCAATACCCATCCCTAATTTTGACACCTTCGTAAGTTTAAGCACAGCAACTGCAAACTTAATTTAACTTAATTTGACAGAAAACACACTTGTCTTGGCTAAATTAGAAAAGATAGCCATGGCCATTATAAGAAAAACATTGAAAACAGATGTGTCCCATCTGAATGCAATTTGGCTCAATATGGAACCTCATTTACTTCTACATTGTGTAAAAAAATGTTCTGCACTTGGGTTGAGGAGATTCCAGTCAACTAAGGTGTGTTTTACTCCAACTTCAGTTGATAATCTTTAGTTAACTAAGAGAGACCAAAATATTACATTTACACTTTAGCTTATAAGGCGTGTTTCTGCTGCTGTCTGGACCAGCTCTAGATCCAACAGCCATCCCTATCTCTGGATGGCTGTCAGTCCACTGTTTACCTCAGCTGTTAATGTGGGGTAAAAAGCATCCACCCTAATTTACTTTGAAAAAGGCATTAAAACTGTGTGAAAGGAGTCCGACAGTCAGAGAGTCAGACAAGCTCAATTCGGCTGATGAGAGCATTACTGAGGTGAGTTGTTGAGGATATGCTGAACTGTTGGTAACGCTGCTGTTAGCTCCTGTTAACCAGCGTCAGTGAAACTGGCTTTGAAGCTAATGTAACTTTGTTGGACTCTGATGCTTGAAAATGTAAGAATCAAAGCTGTTAGAATCAAAGTCCCAGAAAGTTGGTTCTGTTCATCTGGATGTAGCGTTTTCAGTAGGAGAAACATTTTCATCACTCATCCAAGTGACTTCTTCAGTCTCAGCTGACTGCAGGTTTCCTCAACCTTATAAACAGTACATTTGCATAATGATTACATCTCATCATTGAAAGAGTGTCCACTGGCCTGTAGGTGTGTGTGTGTGTGTGTGTGTGT